CGTTGGTTTAGGTACCCTTTGTAGGATGAGTATGCTTATTAAAAATTTGGATGGGGTAGAATCACATGTTTATCCAGAAGTTGTACTGTGATTGTGTACTATTTGCTAACCTGGTGACTGTGGGCTTTTGCAGGCCAGAAAAGATGCCACTCAAGTTGTTGCAAATTTACAAAGGCAACAGGTTCAGTTTAAGTTGATTGCATCTGATTACCTGGAAAAAAATCTGGATCTTATGGATGTCTTGATAGTTGGGTAAGAAAACATTGGATGACATTCTTTTGTTTCTTAGCTTTGCAATCGGTACGGTGGACTCTTCTGCTTAATCAAATGATTGTAAATAAATTATTTTGTCAACCTTAAAATTTTAATTTCTGTAAATCAGCCATGATGATAATCTCACGTCCTGCTCAGGGAATTTTTGTGATTTTTTAATTTAGTTTTGTGACTTGTATGTCTTCTTTTCTTAACATATTTCGATGCCTATGTTATTTCTGTGCAACTGACTAATAATTGCTGCCTTTCAGCTATGAAAACACAGATATGGCTTTACACTATGGTGCAATGCTAAGGGAGTGTATTCGACATCAAATTGTCGCAAAGTAAGGAAAAAGAATGTGATGATTCATTTTTTTTGTGTGTGTACTATCAAGCTGTTAATGATTGGTGAATACTAGAAACTACTGTTAAGGTTGTAATCTATGTTAGAATAGCCCTGCATTTCCTATACTTTTCTTATATGTGCTCTGATTCATACAAAATGATTGGTGTTGTGTGTGAAGTTTGTGAAAAAAAAAAAAGACCTAGGACATGTAATTTCCCCTCACATCATAACTATAGTGTTGTTTAATTCTTCATATTTTTATATCAGATATGTTCTCAACTCACCACTTATGAAGAAATTCTTTGACTATATCCAACTCCCAAATTTTGACATTGCTGCGGATGCTGCAGCTACCTTTAAGGTGCATTTCATGTGAAAGAACTTGTGATTACAAATTCCTTTGTGCAATGCACATTTTTTGAACAGAGTTCATGACACATAGTTTTGTGTTGTCTCAGGAGCTCTTGACAAGACATAAATCTACTGTATCCGAATTCCTTTCCAAGAATTATGAATGGGTAGGTTACCCCTTCAAAGTTCAATCTTTTTATAAAGTAGCATTTCAATTTTAATTTATACACCTCACATCCATGCTACCTTTATCTTTTCATTACATTCTATTGCTAAATAATATGCATGAGTTTTATTTTTTTAGTTAAATTTCTCATATAACAGCTTATAATTTGATGGTATGAACATGATATCGACTTTGTTTTAGTTTTATAGAGTTTTTAAAGGTTAGTGTCTTTGATATAAATTATAATAAACTGACAAACGATTTTAAAAACTCAAGTTCTGATACTATTTTAAATTTATCCTTTTCATTCATATGAAATGACCATAATAGAATTATATTTTTTCGTTTCTCTGCTTCTAACTTCTAAGTATTGGTTTCTGAACTGATAAGAGATATTGTAGAAAATTATTCTGCATGCATTGTGGATGAACATATCTTCTATCAAAAAGTCATTTAGTTTTTGTGATTATTAACCACGTGTTTAATTTCTTTTATATGATTATTAACTTCACAAGTATGTTCGTTTATTGTAATTAGGGATTTTTTAAAATATTACCTTATCGAACATTTGTTTTAAAACTTTATGCTGCTGACATAATTATATGGTTGTCAGTTTATATTAACATGTTTTATTTGTACCTGGTTTATTCAAGTAGTTAATGCCCATTACTTATCAACGAATACTCACTTTGTTATTGCTGCTTTCAGTTTTTTGCAGAATATAACACTAAGCTGTTGGAATCTTCCAATTACATTACAAGGCGCCAAGCTGTCAAGGTTCTATAAGTGTTTTTGGTTTATCCATATAAATTTAATTTTGATCTCAACTATAATTCTTGCCTGTTGAAAACTTAAATTTGGGTTTGAGAAACGTACACCTCCTTGTGTGTACATTTTTAGTTCATTTGACCAATGAAATTTCCTGAAAATTGTAAACAAAAGTATCACAGCTAGTCAACAGATACTTTCCTAGTGGATTTCGGTAGTATCTTTGCCTGTTCATGCATGCATTTGTAGTTCATTTGACCTATGAAATTTCCTGAATTGCTATTGAATTTTCTTCACTCTCCATCCCCGCCCCCCCTGAATGTTGGAGTTTTGGTCTTTACAGTCTTCTGTTCATTTGAGTATGATCTATTTATGATTACTGAGTTGATTTCTTTCTCGTACACAGTTGTTGGGAGATATATTACTTGACCGATCAAATTCAGCAGTAATGACACGATATGTGAGCTCAAGAGACAACTTGAGGATTTTAATGAATCTTCTAAGAGTATGAGCCCTTTACACAAAACTTGAATGACGTGCCTTATTATGTACCTTTGTTTGTGTGCTTCATCTGTGTCTGCCAATCCTTATCCACACTTGATATATTTTGCCGTTTTTAACGTGTGGAAGTGCATCAGTTCCATCAAATTATCTTCACCCTAGTACTATTGTAGTTTGTCAAGATTACAATGCTAAAGATTAATGTTCAAATAAGTTTTGGTGATAGTATTATATATTGAAGGGAAGATTAAGAACCTTGGCATGTGTTTAAAGTGGATTTTAATGGTCCGTACTGATTTCTTCCTACAGGAGTCAAGCAAGAGCATACAAATTGAAGCATTTCATGTTTTCAAGGTATTACTGTAATAATATTATACCACACATTTGGAAATGACTGTTCTGAATCATGCGTTTATTGATATTTGCTTGTCACACCAGTTGTTTGCTGCTAACCAACATAAACCAGCTGATATCGTCAGTATATTTGTCGCAAACAAAAGTAAGATGCTGAGACTATTGGAAGACTTCAAAATTGATAAAGGTAAGTGATGCCTTCCTCTTTGTGGTATCAATTATCAGTTTCTCATGATACTTATTTGTTGTGGTTGTGCAGAGGATGAACAATTTGAAGCTGACAAAGCTCAAGTGATGAAGGAAATCGAAGCTCTTTAACCCAGGGAACAATGCACCTGAAGTGCATATTGTGCTAAGTAGCACGTTACCATGTGGCATTTCACTTTAGCGAATTGTGTATTGTAATAGTTATTAGTTTTTATCATGATGGGACTATCATTTCATACAGACTTTGATGCTTTCTTGCTGTAATTTTATTACGCCCTTTAAAAATTGTAGATAAATAAATTGCTTAATGAGCTACGTGCGGTTTATTATGTCTTTGTAGGTGTCTATAAGTAATAAAGGTATTCGAGGTCATGCAATCTCAAAATATTTGTTTCGCTAAATTTTGTGTAGTGTTTAGAAAAAGAAAATAAAAAGTTAAGATTAGTTTCCGTAACTTCATAGGTTCTCATTTAATTTGTTCAAGAATTGAGTTGATTTTAGTTCATGGGAGAAGTTTAATTTAGTGTAATCATATCTAGATAACACCTTTGTCAGCAAAGTACACAGGTGATGTAACTTTACATAAACTATTATTATTTCTTTTTGTGTAGAAGTTGGTTTTGTAGCAAGATTGTAATATTACTTTTTAAGTTTAAGTTTTCTTTCTAAAATATGGTGAATTTGTGTTTGTAAGCACAACCTTAATGTTTTTAATTTCACTAAAATATTGTTTACAAACTTATTTAGTTTAAATTTAAAGAGTCAAAATTGTATTTTTAAGTATAATTATAGAGTAAAATGAAAATATGAAGTTATGTTTGGGAGTTCAACTGTACCCTAAACTTGGAAAAAAGCATACTTGGAATTGTGTTTTTCAATACAGCTTCTAAGCGAATTAAATAAAATTTTGAAATAGTGCTAATTTCAACATAAAATTTAAAAAGAAAAATAAATTGATGAGTTACCTAGTTACATAGTTTTTAAAATATTATCCAGCTCAAATAATTTAGCCGGATAGATTAATGTTATTTTGTGAAATAATTGAGGTAATGATATGATATAAGGAAGGAGTTGAGTGTGGGAAGCAGGGTGGTGCACGCATCACTTCATCATTAGCATTGCAGTTGAAAGGTTTGGGTGTCTGCAGTTTGCACTCTCCACAGGTTTTATTGAGTTGTTTTCTTAATGCTAATTCGTTTCAAATAACGCAATTTCCAACTTTAGCTCCCAAAAAATGAATACATAATTGCATTTCCTGGAATGAAGAGGTAGCAGTCAACTTCTTCTTGCCTTTTTCCCTATTTTTGCAACAGCATTGAGATTGGCTGTGGGCCTCTTCATTTGTGGCTCATACACGAGAGGAGGCTTTTACAAACCAATAAAAGAAGAGCGTGATTAGGGTACTCACATCACATCCCCTCCTTCAGGTACATGTTTGGTACCTATTTGGACACAACCAGGGAACCTAAAACATTGAAAAGTGTGCGGCCAAAAAACAAATCAAAGCATCAGGATAATCTCCGGCATATTCCATATGCCTTTCATCACTGCTACTTTACCAATAGTTATTTAGATTCTAAAAAAATCACTTTTTCATTACACTTTCAGAATTATCTAGATTTGTGTCAATACAGCTATTTTTACATTTTTTTATGACAAACAAATTAAAAAAAGTACACTTTTCGTTGAGATTCTTTTTGAGTTCCCTCTCTGCAATTCGAAAATTGAATATGCCTGAATTAATGACGTCAGAAATCTCTCTATACTAATCTCAAATTTTTCTGTGTCTATGCTGTGACATCAATTATTTTAATTAAACTCAATGACCCAAAGATCGTCTGAATGAGAATTTAAAACCTTTTACATAGTTTTTAAAATTTCAATTACAAAAAGAAATTGAAGACTACACTGCTAATAAAAGTTCAATTTTAAAGAAAATTGAAGATTAAAATGAATCACGAAAATGATTTTATTATAAATTGCCAGTTGTAGAATAAATAGTTATTTAATAACGGGTGAATTTAGTTATTGAAAAAGTGCGATTGATCGTTGGTGGTGTGGTAGTGCAGTGAACGCTGGATAGCGCGGTACATGCAAACACAAGTTCAAGAATAAAATCACAGGCTCTGCTACATCATTTCATTTCGCCACCTTCTTCACTCTCAGTCTCTTTCTCTCGCAGACAACAATTGAAGGAGAAAATGGTTGACATTGACAATGGTATTTGTTCCATCCAATACAATTTCTATCCTTTTCTCCACTTAATTGTTATTTATTGCAAACTCTGCTCACCGAAATTGAACTGTAGATTCGCTCTCGGAATTCCTCGCATCTGCGGTTCACGCGGCTCAGAAAGCTGGCGAGGTCACTTCATTTTCATTCCAAAATCTCTCCATTGATTCGTTTCTCTTTCCGTTCATTTTCACTCTACGCGTTTGTCTCCTGTATCTTACTCTATTGAACGCGCATGGTTTCCAGATTATTCGAAAAGGGTTCTACCAGACCAAACACGTGGAACACAAAGGACAGGTTTGATTGCGTTCTCTCCGTTGTGTACTCTCTTTTCTTTTACCTTTCTCGCTTCATTCTCTTCCTCACCAACACTATGCGGCTCGGTTTGATTTATGCATAAACCGAATTAATAATGATAAATTTATTTTAAACGTAACGTGTTTATGAGAAACTTATGAACAAGAATCATAGCTAATGTTTTATCATCACATTTTGGTGTATAACAACACATGAAGTTTAAGTCTGTTTTAGGCTCTGCAGTCTCGTTTATCTGCCTTTTCGTCTTCTCTACCTGAAACCCTATAGTTTCAACGAAGGTTTTAAATTGGGATTGCAGCTACCATTGCTGTTTTTTCATGACCCTGAATGTTGTGAAATTGCAACCGGTGGGGCCACAACTGCCATTGCAAGGCTTGACATTGCGGCTGCAATTGCGAACAATCTTTAAAGTCTGGATTTGAATATAGTCTTAAAACGGGCCATTCTTTGGGAGTTATTGTATGATGTATTCATTGCTTAATCTGCGAGGCAATCTGCATGTCATATATTTCTTTCCTTTTTGTGTTAGTGCTTTTCTTCTTTCCGTGTTGCAACTATTTACACAACATTGTTTCTCATTCTTTCTCGCGTCTTTATACTCTAGTTTACTGAGCACATTACAAACTTTAAATTTGATTTCGAATGAAATAGTACATGTATTCAAGAGACAATACTTCAGACAATCCTTATGTGATACCTTTCTCTTACACTTTAGACTACCATTGATTATTATGCACTCAACACATTTAGGCATATCGTTCTTATCACAATCCAAGGTGCATTCACCTGTTAATAAACTCAAACTAGGGGCCATGATTCACCCGGTGTCAATTCATAATCAATTCGATTGTGTCTAGCCCCTCCCACACACTGCACATGCTTTGTATATTCTGTGTATCCATTTTTGTCGCTTGCATTCATTATTCAAATTCCTGCCAGGCCAATGGTATCCTACGTCTAACTCTTGTATATTGCTGCTGTTGTTATCTCTCTATTTTTTCGTTGAGCCCAGTGCGAGCACTCTGGTTTCTGGCTGTGTGTGCCGGAAGAGTGAAAAATGAGTCAAAATAAAGAGAAAGAGTTTGTTATTTTGTAAAGCCACCATGAGAAGGGGTTTTTAAGTTATTACAGGAAGCCAGCAAGCGTCCTCCTACATAGCCCTTTTGAAGTTCATTTTGACTATTATTCCTTGAATTATGATTTCTTTTGAAGTTTACAATTCACATTATTAGGTATGCAACGAGTTATTGGACTTTAAAATGACAATATATTGATGTTTTTATTGTTTCTTTATATGAAACACTCTTAGATCTATGCTTTTTAGTTTTTTGTTTAATGTTTTTTCTAGCTATATAGATCTATTTCTCTCTCTCTCTCTCTCTCTCTCTCTCTCTCTCTATATATATATATATATATATATATATATATATATTATTTTTAGTTATTGATTATGAATCTTACTATTCTTTACATCGTGTAATGTGGTAAAAATCACTTAAGCAGTGAAATAATGAATTAATGAGCAATTACAGTTAAAGCTCCGTATGTATTATTGTAGCGGTGGGTCAATGGAGTAAAAGGTTGCTATTCAGCAATAGCAACTACAGAGACACTAGAGAGAAGAAACAAAATGCAACAAGACCATAACTTTCTCCCCTCCTCTAAGCTACTATATAACTAATTGTTACCTCATACATAATCCGCACGCATGAACTTACCATCCTCATCTTTGAACTTTTTTAATGCCCACAATCACAGGGTCGTTTGACACTTGTCCATTCTCCACAACAGAATTTCTTATCTTTGTCCATTTCCTGAATTGCCCTTGTGTTATTTCCACAGTTCATGATTCAGAAATAATTCTCAGTTTATGATTTGAATCCCTATTTAACAACTGGTCCTGGAGATTATCATTAAGATATGGAAAGCAAGAATTAAAGAGTGTGAAACTGATCTTCAGTCTTGATTATCAACGGGGTGCAAGTAAGGAAGTGTTTGAGTGGGGAACATGGAAATTGTGGGTTGGTTTGCCACCCTACTTTTGTTTCATTAGGTCTAATTTTCATGCCCGGGATTAGACATTTTATAGTTGTATTAGAGTTTATCATGTAGCATTCCACTTTTTCTTTCTTCATGCTACTCGAGCCAAGGTAGAAAGCAATATAAAATTTGTTTAGATTATCACTAGTATTCATGGCAAAGAGTGAATGATTTCACATATAGTGATGAATATGAAAACGTCTTTTTTGATGTACAAACACAAGTTGAAAATAGTTTTATGTGTAGAGACCAAAACCTTAACAGATCTAGTCGTACGCATGTTGACATAACGTCATAGTCTGTTCTAGCCATGAGGGATGATTAGATGGTGTTATAACAGCTGTAGATGGCGGTGAGTGAACTGAAAACTATTTCATGCGTATGGACTGATTTGAAAACTTTTTCTTTTCCATGTATGGATCAAGGTAAAATTATCATCTTAAATAGGAACCAAAAGTTTCACTTCTGGTTAATTTTCTGTGTTTTTTTGTTTTTAATTTTTAATTCTTATCAATGTCTAAGCAACCAAGACTCTCCAAGCCCAAAAAGGTGGGATATGAACGACTATAGGAAAAATTAAGTGAGAAGTTTGGTGTAACTGTCCTATGTTCTTGTAAAGAAGTTCAGACTGAAATTTAATTAAGTGTTATGGACATTATCATGGCAAAAAATGATGAAAGATTATGGGTCAATTTGTTTAAACTTAAAATAAGCGTCTTTGAAATGATCTATTAAAAATAATCGCCTATTTAAGAAGAGCATAAGATTTGCTTATTTTTAAATAAGCTGATTGGACAAACATGAAAAGGTAGAAATCTGTTTAATTTATCATAATAATCAATTATTTAAAAAAAAATAATAAGTACAATAATAAACTTGCTCAATATCTCATTTGCTTACTGTCTTTTACTTTTTTGCATGATGCACAGGTTGATTTGGTCACAGAAACCGATAAAGCATGTGAAGAGCTCATATTTAATCATCTCAAACAGCTCTATCCCACTCACAAGGTTGAACTGTACATATATTCATTAATCAAGTTTAAGATGAGTTACTATTTTCTCTTTTTTGCCTGTATAATTTTCCTTTAAGTTCTTTGAAATTGGTTTTCTTAGTTCATTGGTGAAGAAACCACAGCTGCCTATGGCACTTCCGAACTCACAGATGAACCCACATGGATAGTTGATCCCCTGGATGGAACTACTAACTTTGTGCATGGGTAATAATTAATTATGATGTTTAGGGTGACAGTGGATTTGTGATGTACTGATATGTCCATATTGGTTGACTGGAGTTCTATTATGTGCAGGTTCCCCTTCGTTTGTGTCTCCATTGGTCTCACAATTGGAAAAATTCCTACAATTGGCGTTGTATACAATCCAATTATTAATGAGGTGAGAAATCTTCCCTGTTGCGGATGGTTTACAAGTGACTGACTATAAAACAATTAAAATTTCAGTTAGAAATATTAAAAAATTTATACAACGTTAAATTCTGCATGTGCTGTTTTATCTTAGCTGTTCTGGGATACTGTCCAAATGTAGACAGGGTAATATTGAACTTTATTGGAATATTTGTAATCAATTGTTATGTTGTTTTCTTTCCTCTAACCTTAATGTTATAGAAGACATGTTTGAGAGTAGACATTGACTTAATTCATTCAGGAACATGAGACTTTAATATATCTGTAAATTAGCCTTACCCGTATGACATTTTACACTTTGTAGTATTTTTAATTCATTTTCCTTTGTTGCATAGTATACAAACTAAAATTTGGGATTGTTGTATGCAGCTTTTTACTGGAATCCGTGGAAAGGGTGCCTTTTTAAATGGGAATCCTATAAAAGGTGTGTCGTCTGTTTATTTTTTTTATTGATTGTTGTTAATTTAAATGTTATGCTGATGCCTTGAAATTTCACAGTATCGTCACAAACTGAACTGATTAGCTCTCTTCTTGCAACTGAGGTAAGTCAAGCCTGTTATAGTTTATGGCGTGAAATCCATTCTTATATATCTTTCCGCATATCTGTGCACTTGTGCAAACGTCCAAAAGATCAATGTGATCATTTAGCAAATTGTAAGTTGTGATTACGAAGTCTGTTTTAGGTTGTATCCCCAGTGAATTTTTTGTGTTTTACCCGCATTAGTCTGCTTATTTACTACAAATCTGGTCCTTTTTGGTTAGTAAGGTTATCTCACTCTAACTTTGAACGCTGAGATTATTGGTCAGATTCATAACTATTGTGCATTTTGAATCAAGACAAATTTGAAACTCATTTTTCTTCTCTTCTGAAAGAGCAGGTTGGAACAAAACGTGACAAAGAAACAGTAGATGAATCTACCAATAGGATTAAAAGCTTGCTTTTCAAGGTAAAGCTGGGATTTTCCATGGAATCTACTGGACTAAGGTGATATTACTGTTTCTGCTGTAACAGCTTTTCTATATTAGGTGAGATCTCTTCGAATGAGTGGCTCCTGCGCTCTGAATCTATGTGGAATTGCATGTGGAAGACTGGACATATTTTTTGAACTTGGCTTTGGTGGTCCTTGGTATGAATATCTCAAACTACATTAATGTTAGGCAATGTGGTAATGTAATTTACAAGGTCTCTTTCTTTTTCTAGGGATGTGGCAGGTGGTGCTGTCATTGTTAGAGAAGCTGGAGGAGTTGTGTTTGATCCGTAAGTAACTTTGATTAGATATCCTTATTCTTCATGAAGGGACTAAGTATTAACTTCTAGGTAGTCTCTCTGCCCAGTTAGGTACATAGTGCAGTTGGTTCTTCGCAAGCATCTTCATCTTGTGGACAGTTATGCTCACATTATTAGATGGACATGCATTGTGACATACTGTAGAAACAGTTAACAGGACTTACTAGCACTTTAGAAAGCTATAATACTGATAGGGAAACTAATATTCCTTGAATGCAAAGATAACTAGGAGAATGTCCAAACAAAGAAAATAATAAACGATTCAGAATTCTTCTCTATTATTCATATCAAAGTAATAATTGGCTGGACTCAAAGTACAGGTCATTAGGTGGCCCTCAAGTAAAGGAAACGGAATAAAAAAAAATTGCAGTAACATGACATCGTAACAGAATTGCAGAATAAATAAAACTAGAATCTGTTATAATTGTAATAAAAGAACCCAAGGGATTCTAGTGTCTGTAGCGGATTGGTACGTTCCTCTTAGGCCTAGTTCCAATGTGAAAGTCCAATTCGATAGGAGCTTTAGGACTTGTAGTATTTGTGCTATCAAACACAGTTGCAGATATGTTGGAAATATTTCATGCTTACGTCAACATCCGATGTTTCGCTTGCTTCAGGTCTGGTGCAGATTTTGACATAACATCTCAGCGAGTAGCAGCTTCAAACCCTTTCTTAAAGGATGCATTTGTTGATGCTCTGCGCCATATGGTGTGAGCAAATTTACTATTAATCAATGGCAAGAACTTATCGTATAGCCATCTTTTCTAGTTTATTTACCTTTTGGTCATTTAATGGTTAAGATTCTACATTTTTTGTAAAAGTGATCTGATAAAGTTATCAGAATTGTTAAGTTCTTATATGAATCAAAAGTGCTCGATGACAAATCTTCTTTTGCATAATAAATCACTTTAAATCCTTTAAAAGAAGTGCACTTTCTTATGACGTCGTAGGCCTAAGCAAAACATCCGCATCTCATTAGGATGTCAAAATGAGTCACTTAGTCTGGCCTGGCGTCATCATGAATAAATTATTTAGTGAATTAATTTAACCTGATTAATAATTTATTAGGGAGTATAAAAAATTTGAACCCAACCGGTCCACCAAAATCGGTAGATTAAACAAGTTTGTTCACTTAATTATAAATTTCTTTCTTCAATCCCAAAAGAATAATATTTTTTCTGCCATATATCGTCCTGGAAAAGCACGATCTACAAAGATATCTGATGCAGTCTGCGTTTGCAAAGTCTCAACTTAGAAAAGTAAGAGCATTTTAAGTTTAAGATTTTTACTTTTGTAATATAACTTAAAAAAAATTGGGTTGGATGGTGAGTTAATCCAGTCCGAATCCACGGTGGATCGGATTGATTTTTAGGTTCAAACTCGTTTTAGTATCATTACATATAATAGATTCAAAAGAAATTAAAAATTTAAACATATAATCGAATTGGGTAGGGTAAACGAATAAATTTAAATGAATAAAATTGAGTAATATATTGAGATACTGAATTAGAATTTTATGATATCTGATAATTTATGTTTTTATATTTATAAATTTGTATGCTATATTTTAAATTTTATTTTTAGTGTATTTTTTCATAAAAATTAATATAAACTATATAAAATCTAAACTCTCGAGAAATAGAATCATAATTTATTATAAAAATCATTATTAAAATTATACATATTACTTTTTTAGTTAAAAATTCATTGTATTTATTTCATTTATTTAAAGTAAAAAAAATCTTAAAAAAATTGGTTGAATATAAACTTATCCAAACAATCCAAACTAACATGGAACCCAAACAACGGGTATCTGATTAACCCATCCAATATTAAGGTCCATTACATCAGCTATTGTGCAGTGAATGGGCTCCTTTAACTGCTGATTTAAATTATGTAGCAAGGTTAACACAAATAATCTAATAATATATTTTATTAACGTTATTTTTACTTAAGTTCATAACAATTTTTTAAACAATTCGTTTATTCTGTATATTTCTTTTAGTGAAAGCAGCACTACAATAGAATTTTATGGGGAGAATGTGATTGTTTGAACACATGTAATATAATTTTGGTTCAATGTCTCGTGTGTTAACGATGCAGCTGTTGTTAATATTTTTGGTGGTCTAGATTCTGAATTTAACCAAGCTTGAAGTGATATTTTGATGGAGGATCCTCCTCTTGATTTTTAATCATGTTTTGCATATGCTCGCATGGATCACAAGCAACCACACCCTATGAAAAACCTCAAGCTATCTCATCCATTTTTATCCTCCTGGGCCTAATCAATCTTCAAAACGAAAAAATTCAACCAACAAACCAACAGCTTCACATGTAACAAGAAGAAATCTACAAGTATGTTAGTCATAAGATTTTAAGCAGAAAATATTATCGTATTCCTTAAGTATCTCATGAAAATTAAATTTGAGATTGATATTTCAAAGATTAGTTATTGGAAGACTAATTTACTTGTCACATACAATGCCTTAAATGGTGAGAAACTAAAGGTTTACTTCATGTTCTTTGGAAAGAGCTTAATCACGACCACGATCAAGTGCAAAAGCATAGTTCCACAAGATGACAAATGGGGTCTGTGAATTATTAAGGATAAAACTGCACTACACGATTTTATTATATTGAGATAAGACAAGAATATCACCACTTCATCATATATCACATGGGCAAGACTGTTTTCCATATTTGTTGTTTCACAAGATCAACTAAACGATGTTCTAAAAAAGATTGTCCCCACACGAGGTGGAATGGTGGCGTGAAACAAGAAAATTAAGCAAGAATCTTGGTGAAAATGTATCTAGCCAATTATTCATCGAAATTCAGTTTATTTGATTGAGATCATTATGGAGTATTTTTGGTACTTTAATTGTGGAAATCAGGAAACAAACTATTCCAGAAGTTATACGTGTGGAAGTGCATATCAGTTTAATAACACCGTTCAGAAAAGTTATTCAGAAAAAAAAAAAACTGAACCTCTTTAAATTAATTCCATTCACATGGGGTGTGGAGACTTCCGATAAACTCTTTTTTCTAATTTCCTATGATACGGACAGTGCATAGTGCCTTGGCCTTTTCGCATGAGTTTGGCCGAAATACAAGAACAAATGCAAGTAGAAACTTATTACACATAAAAATAAGCTGGCGTGCGCACCTACTTGGGGTTCGGTTTTCAAACTCTGAGAAAAAGGAGATGAACGTGTATTAAATATTGATTTGATACGCATTAGTTTAAGGCAGATAGGAAGAGAATAGTCCAAAAAGAGCATAATGCATCCATCCCCGCGGCTCGATAAATTCACACCATTCCAAACATGTTAGGTCAATAATGTTCACCCAAACATCTCATGTCCAGCCTGTACTCTTTATAGCTCTCAACGGTTGAATTCAAAGGTGCAGAGAGAAATTCAATTCATACAATAACAGAGAAAAATGCAATAGCTTTTATCTAACCACAAAAGAGTGAGATGGAGGTAAATAAATACAAATATGGAAACCGATACAAAGTATCCTCTGGAATAGCAGGAACTCGTTAACCATCCTATCAAAGAATTTCATATCAAAACCAAACTCTAAGCTAGTGGGAGTGTGCTAAACACACTCCACGTGTAAACAAATATACAGACAGAAATGGAGTTAACAACAAAACTCGTATAGATAGAATTCAGAAGCCAAAAATCCAGTATCTATATGGTCACTTTCCCTACACATGCTGTGCACTAGAACCATACCCATTAACTCCATTTGTTCCGTTGATGCCATGTGCTGTCTTGTTCGCTGATTTCTTCCTCTTCAACACAATGAACCATGTGTAAGCCTCCAAAAGCACAGCGATACCACCCAAAGCTGCAATAATGCCAATGTAAGCATGCTTCCAGTCATTGTAACGATCCCCTACCGAAACCTCCAATGCATCGAACCCTTTAAATATGTTGATGATACTGATGATTATGGTGGCGTATCCGATGGCGTAGTGGTAGAAGTTCCAGTAGATTCTGATTTTGTGATCCTTGTTGGGCCTCAAAAGCAGAGCAAAAACCTGTATTAAGAGGTAGTTCTTTGAGTCCCCATAGCATTTAAAAGAAGAGGGTTCGGAAATAAACAAATGAAGAGCATCTCATAAATCATACCTGAAGGGTTCCAAGGCAGAAGAGGGTGATTCCGAGTGCTCTATGGGTGTCGTACGTAACACCAACCGAGTCACTGCCAAGCTTGAGACCGGTTCCCCAACCAGCAACACCAACTATGTATGCAGAGGTTTGGCAGGTAACGTGAAGGTAAAACCAGGCAGGGTCAGCAGATTTGAACACCTTCAAATACCTAGCTATGATGGCACCAAGGGGCATCAAAGTCCCCCAGCTCATAGCATTTAGAATTCCATGGACCTGACAACAAACCAACATCCTTCAATCAACTTCTCAAAAAATCGAAAAATATTTCAAACACCTCCTTGGCAAACCATGTAGAATAAATCTTTATTTTCAAGGAAACAAACCAGAAAAATAGGTACTTACATTTCTTCTTCTTCGAAGTGAACCCCCGCTTGATCCTGCTTGACTGGCACCAGAAAGAAGATCCAAACTTTCCTTAGATTGAACGTTTGACATAGAATGCGATTGAGGGGTAGAACCAGAGAGAGAACCGTCATTCCAAAGGTGGACCAAACTAGCGGTATTGTTTGGAAGAGTGAGAGTGGCATAGATGGTGATCTCATTATTCTGACGGGTAGCCGTCAAGCCAGAGTGAGGATAAGAGATGGTTCCCTCTGCCAACTGGGTTGAGTAACCTTGGATGGAAGAAGTGTGTACTGTTGGGGCGCCACCAGATTGTGAGATAGCCACCAGAGCCTGTGCTCCAATCATAGATGAAGTGAGGTCACCGTTGGGATTTATAGCCCACGAAACCCACCTGTCTGTGTCGGAGATTCCAGAGTGTCTGAATGCTATGTCCAACTTGCCTGAGGCCTGATCATAAGTCCAATGAAGATAAGAGCTTAAGTGAGGAAGATCACGGCACGTGGCAAACACCCTGTTCTCAGTGAAGGTATGGTTCGAGCATGTCTGTGACTGTGCCGAGGTTATCAGAAGGAGAGAGCTCAACACAGATATGGCCAAAACAAGCCTCACCACCAACTGCTTTCCAACCATGTTTCTCCAACTACGCAGCCCCTTTCAACTCTCTTGCTTGATCCTCAAAAGGTTGCTTGGCTCCTGCTGGGAGATCTCAACCGACAGCAAGTGGGTGTTGAAAATTTGCTCGATTGACTGTTTCGTTTTCGTTTTCGGTTTCTGGCAAATACAAACCCTCTCAAGATGAAGGAAATGGAGGAGGTTGTGGAAGAGAATGAGGGAAGATGGGGGTTATTATAGGACTGGGTGGGGTTAGGTAGTTGAGTAGTTGATGTCCAAAGATGACCAAAAGTCTCACACAAGAAAACCATAATGAAAAAAAAAACACAAAAAAAAAAAAAGTTGAATTTTTAAAATAAAAGCACGCATAATCTAGATGCTCTAATTCGTTTAAAGTATGAATTGATGTTGCATTATGATATTCGCACTCTCAAATAGGAAAAAAAAAAGTCTAAGTTTTTGTATTGACAAAGAAACCCCTTTAATTATGAAATTACACAAACGACGTGTTATGTCTCCCTACCGGGTCCACCTTCTCTCCAAAGAGGAAGCTTCCATTACGTGTGTCATGTAGAAGCAATTTGATTTGTTCCAAAAACAAGAGTTGGAAATTTGGAATTCCGACCTGTGATGTGAAGTGGACAATTTTTTCCACCATTGTGAAATCACCACCTTTTCACATCTCTCTCTTTGTGCAACCTAAGACTTGGCAACACATTTCGTTTTTTTATATTTTTTTCGTATCTAAAGTTGGAAC